CACATTACACTTATTTTGAAATCAAGTAATATTATTATATGGTCTGTATTTACGTAAAGGTGTATTTATATACCTGTATCATTGAGAATAGAATCTAACGCTTCATCCAAATTATTAAGACACAATGAAAAACAGAATATTACCATGGTAATACCTTTCGTCACTCACGTAATTCACAGTTGATAAAATCAGTTATGCCGCGAGAAGACCGAAATTGCTCACTGATATTCGCAGTTATATAATATTATTATTACACAAAAGAGCTGAAACTTGTTTTCCTTCAAGCCAGTATTTAAAAAGTATATGGAAAATGACGGAAATGGCGGTATCAATCAATCAGCCTGAAGGAGCAACGCTTTTCCTATTCTTCTGAGGTTTTTCAAGGTTGCAGTTTATTTTGAAAATACAGTATTAACAACCAGATCGGTAACGTGTACATTTTTGTTCGAGTAAATATACCGTGGTTCATTAAAGAGGTAATGCTGACAACATTTAAATTTGTTGAGCATTATTATAAATAGACTTCATCCTTTGTATTATGACGTCATACAGTGCCAATGACTACCGACGTACAACATTGTTCAATATTCTATGGTCGTTCAACCGATACTAACAATTGATACGCATAGCTAATTGTTTTTTTAAATATAATATTAGCCTCGTTAAAAGATATTTGGTATGATGTCTGCGGGTTTTTTTTCATATTAACTTTGAATCATGAGGAAAACAACTTATATATTACGTATAATCACGATCACAGGTGATCACTGTATTTCCATAAAGTTACAATTTAAACATCGATCAAAATTACTTTCAAATTGACCCTTGAACCTTGTAGAATCACATTCCTGACCACAATTAAGCATTCGATGTATTTTATTACGCGGAAATTGTTGAGATATAATAAGCTCTGCCATGGTGAAAATTATCTCATTTATATATACATCATAATGCAACTGCAATCACAAAATGCAACTAGAATCTGATTAAAATATAATCCTAGTTTCAGCGCGTTTTATTTCTTTCATTTGGTAAAGACATAATTAATTATTGTCCGTGTTTGATGAATAGTTAAAATAATACAAAATTAGTAGTTATAAAAAACAACCAAAAGTCAATGACATGCATAGAATGAAATAAACTAGATGACATTTTGAAATAAAAAACGCGGCATACAATACATCAGTTTTTAATCACTTTGTTCGAAACCGAAATAAAAATGTTAAAGAACAGGTAACCATAGTACCGCGTTAATTGGTTTGAATCCAATCTCAAATATGTAAACGTGGTATAGGTTATCGGCACTGTGTCACACTGCAAGCTACCACGTGTTGATTAGAAGCTCATTTAAAATGCGTATTTATGTTTGCCAGTTAGTCACCGTTGATTTCTTGGATCATTTTTTGTTTGCAATTTTCATATACAGTTTCGACTGTCGCGATGGCCATTGTGTTTCAACGTTAGTGATTGAAGTCTTATTTAAAGCGGCGGAGTCGTCATCTGCGCGTGCATCAGATGGCCATAGCGTGTCATTGTTTACAAACAAGTGTCTACCCACGTGCCTTTGCGTTTTAGCACGTGTTGTTACGGTCGCTTGGAAGTCAATTCCCGCGCGTGCGCAGGTGACGACTCTCCCGCTTTAATATACATGTACCAAACGGGTTGTTTTGATTTTTATAAAACCAACACAATAGCTATCTTAAATATCGAAAAATAATACAATGCGCTGAACAGATTATATCTTTTCGATTGTGCTACTGTTTTTTGAGCCTTTTTAGCCATTTGAAAAGTAACGTGTCTAACACCACAAAAATCACGATTAAGCGAACAGTTGTTGTATGATTCCATTGATTTGAGATTGAACTCAATATTAATTTAAAACAAAATGTCAAAACGTTTTTAAGTATCATTAATATTTCATTAATAATTAGCCCGTGGAAGGAAAATATTCTAATTAATTGCAGAATTCTTCTCCGCCACTTTGTAAAAGAATATAACAATTCAAAATAAAACAATAGTTTTTAGAACATTGTAGTCTTCTGATAATTTTCGCATGAAAATGTGTTGGCTGACTGTTTTTGTTTTTTAGTAGTATTAAAAAATAGCAACACAATGGGTTTTGTTTATTTAGCAGTCACGTGACATGGGCTGTTGCAAGGGCTACAATAACATGTAAATATTGTTAGTCAGTAATCACTATTTTTTTTATCAAGCCTTTTTTGTTTTGCCCAAAAAAAGTCTACTACGTCCGAAAGCTAGTTATCAAATTTTAAATTGTCCTTGGCAGGTTGTTAATCATAGTGTTTTGTTAGTTGCAATTGGAGGCCGAAAAACACACAACCATGGTCACTTTGAATCTCATTAATGTCATATATATCGTAAAGATTCAAATATGATATGATTATATGAAATACATGCGTACTATAAAAGTAATTTGTTTTGTTTCATACTCGGTATTTTTAAGCAAGTTGAAAGGTAAATACTTTTGGCGTCAAAATAAATAACAACGAGAACATCGTCTTTTATAAATTTCTAAATTCATAGTTAAAATGAATGTACTATTCCATGAACTCAAATATATAACAAATACGACAGAAATTAAACGCACGTTGACAAGCAACTTGCACTACATGAATAAATCGGCAGATGGACTTCAAGACAAACGTCCAATGTTGTGAGCTATGTTTCTGAAAGAGTGTGCATTTCCTGTTCTTTGAGCACCCGACACATATAGTCCCATCTGGGTGAATATGAAATATACCAAATACATTTATTTTATTATAATATCATTTCCCTATTTGAACACATTTAAAAAAAATACACACATTATACATGGCACATTGCATTGAAACAATAAAAGCATGTTTGACATCGTACGTACAGAAAAATACTACCTTGAGAATAATGTTCTACAGGAATCCGATGAAGTTAATGGCACGAAAACATACATGCAAAATAAACACTAAAACTATGAACTGTGAGACTGTTCTAGATGTGATTGAATCCACGTTATAAACGAATAAGTATTTCATAATTCAGGTCTCGAACCACTAATTAGATCTACATAAACGACAATGTTGAGGCATATCCCTACAGACACAAATGTAAAGTTAAAACATGTTGCTGTAGTTAGCTGAGCCCATATTGCATGTAATTAATTCTCGATTTGAAAATGATGGTCAGCTCAAAATACTACAAAAATGGATAAAAACAAAATACACAGATTTGTCAGCTTTTTTTACTGTTGCCTAGATCCCCATGTAACATTCGTCTAGCGTAATTGATGTACATTTCAGAAATAAAGTCAACAAAGACTATGCAGTTGTTGGAGGAATTAGAATTATAAAGTACACATTCGGGGCTTTATTTCAGGAACATCGTCAAGTATCTTGTGATATCTATCCCGTGAACAGTTTATCATTCGGTGTCTGTCTATATTACGGAATAGGGATATTGGGGATACAAATAGATGTTTCGGTATGACCAATAAACTAGTCAATTACTATCATGGTGGAAACTGAAAGAAACGCGGCATTTGTAGATGGCGGGTGCACTCATACAAGCGTTGTCAAGGTCATCGTTGCCATCTTTTTTTTAAATGCAAATTTACTTATCTATCACTGATCTATCCTCCGTACGGATATATTAACACGTGTTTCACTGCGATCTAGAGATAATTTATGTTTTATTCAAGTACATACATCGCGATTATAGATACTTGATAAGAACAGTTTTGATTTCAAGCTTCCTTCGCTTCGTTCACATGGGAATAGCTTGGCAAGATGGGCGGTTAAACGGTGTCCTCATTGTGAATGATGTGACATATGTTTAGTAGATGCAAACAGAATCGTCGTCATAGTTACAGTGAAGGCAAGAAGAAACGAGCTGATACTGGCACGACCTAAAAAGTAACAACACGAAAAATAAGTTTATTATTGTTAGATTTACACGAATTGGTCTTACAATGTTATACCATTGTTTTGAACACTGCCAACCCGTCCAGCTGAATCAATGTTACCTCACAGTTTCTTTTAAAGCATATATTCAAAATGCTGCAAACATTAATTAATGTTCTGGCATAAAATTAAATAAGGATTTTTTTTAAATTAAACTAAACACCAAGATCTTTAACTCGGAAGTTGCATTAACAGACAGTTTGGAAAGTTTTCGTATTTTCAAATATCAATCTGAACGAACCATTGTTGTACATGCTTCATAAACAGAGGTGTGCCCGTATTTGGGCGACATGCAGGTTTATCACAGTGCCACGTGCCAAATGGAATCGATCAATAGTGTCAGAGAAGATGTTTTTCAGAAAACGCAATTTCTCTATACCAAGTTGGTCGACATGGGATCGAAATGGTCTCGAATATAGCGTGGAAAGACTAGGGCTTCTGTCATTAAAAAAGAAGTTCCAGTAAACTAATCACGCTATCATGTTCTTACGTTAATTAATGTCGATATGGACATGAATAATACTGTACAACTCAGGGAGATAACGCAAAATGGCGCCATACAGCGTCGACTTATCATTTTGTCGTTGGTGGCGTGCTCGCAGAATCCCTAATCTTCCGAAATTTCCTAAATGCGTGAGCATCGAAGCTTCATTT